GGAGCCACGACCGTTGGAGCAGGGGCATGCAGTGGCACTCAGGTGGCACGGTATCTCACCTCAGTCGACAAAGAAGAAGGATACGCTCATGTTGGATTATTATTTCATGTGATTGACAGTTTGACCCCACAACAGGTTATTTGGACTCCTTATGGTCCGAGGCCTCATATGAGTGTGAGACGTACCTTGTATCAGGGCATGATCAGATTTACCGAGATAGTAGAGCCATATGATCCCACTAGATGCCTCCAACAGTTTGGCTACGTGCACAGTATATCGCATGCTCCGGAGCGTCCGCTTGTTGTGAGTCGACCCCCTTCCACGGTTGGATACTCTCTTAGCTACCAGTCTGTTTATGATTAATGGTGGAACAAACTGGGGGCGCATAGTGTGCATCTAGAGTTTTTTTTGTACTCCGGTATGACATAGGCCATGGGAGGTTAGTGACGACTACATGGAGTGGTACCGTAGGCACTCGCACCCACATATACTAAGTGATAGTCGACCTCGTGAGTTCGCGGATGTTGATTCGATTAGTATAATCACATTTGATTTTTTTTACTAAGAAAATTATGTTTGATTGCAACTAATATGTATTTATGATTGTATGGTTTTTTCTTACATTGGGACGTGAGATGTGGATGGAGATAGCTCCCGTGATGGATAATGCACAGGGTAGCAGAGAGGAGTGGCATGCTAGGTCTGACGAGTACTATGACTTATGTCATGGAGTTGGGGACTTGTGGTCCGAGTTTAGGGGGAGGTCGGGTTTTCCACCACCTCCTAAGTAGTTTGCTTTTAGCGTATCTGACTATTTATGAATGTCGTTTGTTGTTTTTAGACTATGACTTATGTTATTCTGTTGTACTCCTACGACTTATGTTCTTTTGTGTTCTTTTGCGACTTTTATTATTCCATGTATATGACTATGACTTATGTGTTTCTGTTGTACTTGGGATGTTTTTATTATATCATGTAGTAAAAGCAACATGTTTCCTTGTGACGTAAACAACCTTGATTACAAATTTATTTTTTTGAAGACGAGTACATCGGGCTCCCTCTTGATTACAAATTTATTTCTTTGGAACACTCTTTGATTTGCGCCATGGACCGCTTGACTGGGAACCCCCAAGATCTAACCACAGTTGACTAAACATTTATCCCATCCAAGCACGCTATCTTGTCTACCACCCTCCCACATGTAATGTACAAGGGGCATCGGTATCCCGTTAACCGGGAAAGAGAGGTTGAACTAATGATCCTGGACGAAATGCACAACAATGACTCCTCTAGGACCGGTTGCCCCAGATAGGTTGCCCACTCGCAGGATGCTACAATTGTACGTAGTTTGTGTGGGTTGGAGGATATTGCACTACATGATAACAGCCAAATTAAAGAGCATGGCAAATACGAATAGATCCACACCCATCATCCAATGACGTCGGGTCGTTGGGTTTGTAGTAGCGATGTCAATGCGTTTGATTGACGCAACCACATCCGCGCCATACATGTTAGCGTATCGTCAATTGTGCTGACGGAGTTCTTCAGTGATGAGTCGCCTCATCTCTTGGAAGCCATCTTGATTACCATATAATGCAAAACTAAGTGCACGAAACCCACAATGACCGTCTGGCACAGGGTCGTGGAAGGCAATGACAAGGTACTGAACGAAGACAGGAAGCAGATGCAAGTGTGCGTATTCAGAATGGGTGTTGGATCCAGGGACATCTGTGAAGGAAATAGAGAATCAACACAAATTCTACATAAACTACTAAGATAAATAACTACACTTATGTTTTTCTTATGTGTACCCGTATCAGGATTGTTGTATTTGTTGTTGTCGTCGGGATCATCATGCTCATCAAATGTCTGGTCGTCTGACGGGTACTCGTCTGTCTGAGTCCCCGTGGACTTGGTCTGGGTCGACCTTGTAGACCCCGACGTTGTGCTTCCCGACTTCTTTTTCATGTTTTTCTTCCTACCACGTAGTATCTTATCAAACCACCCTTTAGTTCTCTAGTTGATTTTTTGTTTGGCCGTCCCCTTCTAAATTCCTTCACTTCTAGCTCATGAATGTTGTCTTCCGCTGCGTAGAGTCCGCGAAACACGTTCTTTGCTACTTTTTTTGTTGCTTCCGGCCCTCAACATACAACCTCATCAACCAACTCCTGAAGGTGACGTTTAGCTTCATCCTTGTGGGGCACGTACTCCTGGGCATTGGGTGGATGCTTGTATGCCAGTGTCTGCCAAAATAGATGAAGATCACCCGACTATATCTCTATGTATCGCGTTCTGCCATCCATAACCTGACATCCACACTTTAAGTCGTGTGTCACAGAGAAATGGCATGCAGATCGGGAGTTCTCCTTTTTTTCCAAATGGGCCGCCAAGTCTTCTTCAGCCTCCTTCATCAATATAATTGCTTGCATGCTGACCTTCCTTCTCAAGTATGTGAAGGGTGTACCGTCGGATGCTGAAAGGGTTTTCTGTCAAGAGTTTTCCAACGTCATCCTAACCTCCCCGAGTTGGTTAGTAATGTAGCAATGTTTTCCTTTCCATACAGTGTCCATAGACCCTTGCGAGTTGTGGAGGAAAGTTTTCAAGGAGGAATGTGATGACTCAACCCTGTTTGTGCTCGTATTTCCTAGATGAAACACATTTTTGGTATGACAAACTGCACACTTCTCTCGATGTAGCCACCACACTCCTTGTATGTATTGCAACAGACGTGGTTCGTCATTGCTCCATCTCGCCCTAAAGTGGCCAAACGCGGTCAAGCCTTCAACATCTGGATGGAAGTTGGATGGGCAAAAAAAAAAAAAAGATGGGTCAGCACGTCTTTATTTTCCTTCATGACCTCTAAATGATAATTCTCACATTCAGCTGCTTGCAACGCATATTGCACTGCATTCATCTCGCCCATGTCGTCTTCCTAGATTTGGACCCGAGGTTATACATTTGCCTTTTGGTGTGATGCCCTTTATCACCCTTTTGCATGTTTATTGTCTGCTTCTGTTGCGACGGAGGTATCCCAACATCTCTCATATGCTTCGGAGATTCTTTATCCTCCTGACTGAATTTCTTCATCTCACTGTGGCCCTCTAGATAAAGCATCTTCTCATGATTGCAATACCCTCGCCTTAAACCGGTTTTTTGCTCCCTCACTTCTTTTATCTCCCAGAATGTCGGTCCATGAAGAGCATTCGGATCAATAAGTACTTCTTTGATTTTAACCCTCAACATGCAATTAGTCCCTTTTGAACTTGTATTGCCACGACTCTCTTTGGAAGGATCCGGCTTGTATGACTTCCTCTCCCTACTACATCTGTCGCAATACATATAACACATACCCAATACTCTTTTGTTGCGCAACTCACGTGGCTTCATCAAGCCCTTAATTAGATAGAAACCAAGAGACATCACGATGTTTTTGGCCACTGTTACAACATCTTCGAAATTGTCATATTGAGACGCCATTGAGGAAATAGTTTGTGTAATCATCATTTAGTTCAACATTATAAGCCATGTCCACCTGCAATTATGATTTTACAACTCGTTAGAAAGAGACAAATTATATGATTCAACACAACTAACTAATGAATCAATTAATACGAAAATCAATTAACTCTACAAAATTAAACTAAATGCAATAATTTAATTAACTCTACAAAATAATGATAATTTAATGATAAGAAATTTATTTAAATATAAAGTATTAAATGAAATTAACTCTACGAATTAAATCTAAAGACAATAAACTAATTAGCACTACAACAAAACACAATCATTTAATTAAAATTATATACAAAATTAACTATGTAAAATAAAACTAAAAGCAATAAATTAAATCAAAATTATTAGCTCTAATATTAATAATAACATAAATATATATCAAAATACAAAAAATTGTATTAGACCCGCCGGCGTCGGTCGTCGTCCGCTCGCGGAATCGGACGCCGTCTGCTCGTCGGAATCAGACGTTGTCCGCTTTATCAGGTCAGACAAGGTCCACCTTCGCCGGTCGGACGGGGTCTGCCTTCGCCGTTCGGACGGGATCCGCCATCTCCTGTCGGATGGGGTTCGCCTCTGACTGTCGGACGACGCCCGCTCGCCGTCATCGGATGGGGCAAAATCATTGCGGTCAGGTGGTTACCTCATTCACTAGTCCCACGATGTGGTTTGACGGCTGCCGTCCGGTCGCCGACGAATTTGGCTTATGATTCTGTGCTCGTCGTCGTGACTCCGGTTATGGTGGTTGTGGATTGGTGGTCGGGTGGTGGTGTGAGGCTACGATGAGTGTGAGTAGTTTAAAAAACCAAACCAAAGAATAGAATATAAAGAAAGTGTGAAGGACAAAAATGTAATTTTAGTTTAATTTACGGGCGCAAATAGTATAGACACAGATGCCAAATAACACCTCTCATACCCAAATAGTGAGTGTTATTAAATCCGAGCTGAACCGCCCGTTCCGACCGGTAAAATCGCCACCCGGTCACAAAACCGGCTTGGAATAGTCTAAAAGTCGCTCCGGTTTTATGTAGCAGTTGACGAGCGGCCGAGGCGGTTAACCGCTGGAGCCGATTGAGCCGCTCGTCCGGTTTTTGCCATTCAGCTGTTAAATCTAATTAAAAAATTGCAGAAAATTGAAAATTGAAATAAACAGAAAACGTCGTGCTCTCAAACTGAATCCTTATTTCCATTTCACAATTTCGAAGGAAAGAGACGAGCTCTGATTAAGTAATGTCCACTATTTATACTGATAACGTTTATTAGGTATCGGTTCTCTAACAGTTTTTAAACGATCTAATACTAGGTGGATTACTAAAGTGCGAACCGTTCGCATTACCGGTTCATACTCCGGTTTGGTTCTAACAACATTGCGGCAAATACCCCTTTTCCACCACGACATGACAACCATGTACAATACCAAACATTGTGTGTTGATGTCTTTTCTCGCTTAAAAGAAAAATAATATAAGGAAAATCCAAAGGAGCCAATTGCCCACTGTAGTATGCAGAAGGAAGATCCATTGTTTCCCCCTCTACAGGGTCATCTTCCTCCAGAGCCGTGGCCTCTTGTTAGTCCCGCAACTGGCGAGGTTTTACGCTACGCCAAAATTATTGCAGCTTATCAAAGCCGCACTGAGTGGTTAGTTTAGTCAGAAACCCCATCTTTCTTTTTCTCCACAATTCAATCCTGCTCTTTTTTTATCCCACTCTCGACCTCTTTCCGATTTCTCTGCTTATGGTGAATGCTCGATGTGATGCTTTCCAGTGGAATGAGTCGTTTCTGCTGAGGGGTTTCGCGCTTCGGGGTCTTCTCTGATGTATGGGTTTTCTCTCGATTGGTGGGATTCGGAAGAGAACAGTAGTGGTATGAACGTTGCTGCCCCTTCCCTTTGCGATTGTGTTTCTGAGCAGGTGAAATCTGGCATTTCGGCGGTTTAGTCTCTGATTTTGGAGTGGTTGATTAGGTTTAAGTGCAGCAGATCTATTCATTCTTGATTTTGATTTAGGTTTCTTTCATGGTAAAAGGAGGGCAGTCGGTGTTGAATAATTGGGGGATGCTCATTTTGCTGAATGAATAGCAGAAATGGATCTGTGGGTTGTTGGAGCCGCTGCAGCTGCTGGGTACATAGCCAAACATTGGCAAAATAATTCCAAGTCTGTACCGGATTCATCTAGTGAGGTTTTAACATATGATAAACCTGAAAGTCCTAGCTGTCCCATAAGCAGATTAATTCACAGGAAGATATTTTCAAAAGATAGTGTCACTGGTGGAAGAAGGACAGACTCCGATGACAGATTCTCGGATGTCTATTCTGTAGATGGTCATTCAGAACCCGAAGCAGTTTCTTCTAGCAATTATGTGGAAAAGCCCGGAGGCTCAGGAGATTATCAGGATTGGAATGCACCTCTAGGGCCATTCATTCAACCAGGATTCTCAATGGTTGGGAATATGAAAAACATTGTGGGTGCCTGTGACTCAAGTTCTGACACAATTAACTATCCCTCTCAGCATTGTAGTAATGGAATGGACTTCAATAGTCGTTCTGGGAGGAATAGAAGTTCTCTGAGAAAAAGATATCCTCGAACTCATTATATTAAACCTATAAATTCTCTTGAAAGTTGCCTTGTGACTCAGTTATGGAACGATCACACTGAAACAGAAGAGTATGTGTTTGGTCCCCTTCCATCACCTTCTACACCTATGAGACCATTACTTGTAACCAATGGAAGTCAAATAATTAGCAGATCCTGTCTCAAATCGCGGTGTGTGAATTATACAAGTGGAGAGTGCAACGAAGAAGCAATTGTGTGTGGGGTTCCTTCATTACCTAAAATCGGGACTTCGAAACCTGGACAGAAGATACAGTCTGGGAGAGGCAAGGAGTGCAGTCAAAAGCTAACCAGCTTTGATAAACAGAGGAGAAGCAGCATAAGTCATTCACTAAATGGTATTCTTTCCTTACTCCTTCGTTGAAACAAACTTTTAACTGTGGGAGAAGTCTGGATATTTGTTGTTTTCTGTCTCCTACATTCATACTAATGTCAACTTATCTAGTAGCTTCATTTTTACTAAATAGCATTTTAGTAGCTGAGAAACTTTGTTCCTAGATCAAAGAATCAATCTAGACATCCAGAATGAAAAGAACTGACATATGCTTTTGTTATGCTTGATTTCTGCATTCATACTGTGTTATGAAAACGAATAAAATTTAATTTCCGGTGTAAAGAAAATGTCCGTGTTTACTGCTTAGTGTATGATTGTATGAAGAAAGGTGACAACAAATCTTTGCCACACTAAGAATAGTGCTATGCTTTCTCGCCGTGTTGCAACATTTGGTTTAAACCTCTGGGGATTGTTTGTTTCACATGGTTAGGCTTATAAAAGCTTTTGAGCACCAAGTTTAGGTTCCCTACCTTTTTTCTTAATTGGTGTTTCATGTTGCCAAATAAAAGACACGGGTAGCTCCAACACTTGCTTGTGGATCCCATTTGGCTTGGGTTCTAATGTTATTTATTCCATTTAGGATTGTGTCTTATATATGATTCATCCCCCACTTGATAGTTGATACGTTACCTGACACTAACATAGTTTCTCATCTCATGATACTCTTATCAGGTTCAATTGGTGAAAACGTTTCATTCTTTCTTGGGATTTCTATTGGTGTAATTTCTTCTCTTGTGGCTAACAAAAGGGAAGTTGAGAAGCTAAAAGACTCTTTAAAGCTGACTCAGAATCTGGTTCAAGATCTACAGGAGGAACTTGAGATGAAGGACTTGGTTACTGTGAAGGAGCTTGCGGCTAATGAGAATTATAAATCACAGGCTACCAGTGAGAATTTCTCTGACAAGTCAGATCCGAAATTGCTTTTCCATGCTCAAAATGAGAACACAGAATTGAACAATGAGAACGCAAAGGCTCCAGAATATATGAGTAAAATTGAAGCAGAGCTTGAAGCTGAACTGGAGATGTTGGGACTCAACATGAATGCATCAAGTATAGAGGGGAAATTCTCAGGTCCTATCGATGTAAGCAAAACTTCCTTATCTCTATATTGACAACTGATGTGTAACACACTTTTTAGATGGGCCTTTATGGGTTACTTAGCCAGAGTAACAAACGCGAATTGCTAAGGGTAGCATTTGTTTCATTAAGCTTGAGTTAGCCAGAAATTTACAAAACCATGTAGGAAGTGCTTCTTAAGAGTTGGTTATGAATCTGATTTCAGTAAGAATTGAAACACTAGGAGCAAACTTGTGTTAGTTACTGTCCTAAACTTGTGCTGGACTGTTAATTTGCCACATGCGAGAAGTGAAACTATCATTGTCAGTATACATATGGCCTACGTGGATGTCTAAACCAAATCCGTGTTGAGGTTGTTTTTGTTATGTAAGGCTGCTAAAAGTTATTTCAGAGAATAGTAGATTAGAAAAATCATCTACTGGCCCTTTGACATTGGGTATAACTATAAACATATGTGCAGCTTGATCCAGACTTTGTAGCAGATTTTGCTCATGGCGAACTGAAAGTTGACATCATCAGGGACGGTGATGATGCCAATACTGAAACAGAAAAAGATGCAAGTGGGGCCTCAACTACCCATTCTGGAGACCATGCAGTTTCACCCAAAGAGCTGAGCCTTCGTCTGCATGAAGTCATTCAATCCAGGCTGGAAGCTCGAGTGAGGGAGCTCGAGATAGACCTCGAGAGTAGCCAAAGAAAGGTGCACCAGCTTATGGAATCAGAAGATCATAGCCTTGTTTGGAGATTGTCAAGCAGGGAGCTTAGATACTCTTCTTCCGGGGAAGATGGTAGTCCAGTTGTTGGTCAAGTTGGTGATTTCAGCAGTGCCAAAATGGCCCAACAACCACCTGTTGTTATGAACCTTTCAGGGGAGGCTCTGGATGCTTATAACGAGGTATATGAAGAGCTCGGGAAGATGAATGAGTCAGTGGAGGAAGAGGATGATTCTCCGACATCATTTTATGAGGACTTCACACAACATAAAGAGGAATTACTGGAAACAGAAGCACAGTACAGTGATAATATTGCGAGTGAGGAAGAAAGTGATTCGAATGAGGATATGGAGGAATTGATTAAGCGCATAGTGGAGAGGACAAAAAGAGGCTCTCCTGCAGTGGTGAATGCACAAATGATGTTGAGTTCTATTGACGAGAAATTACGTTATTGAACTGGGAAAATTGAAGACATGAAGTTTTGTACTGTGTACAGAGGGATATGTTTACACAAAACCAGTCTTCTTTAAGATTGTGTTCCATCCTTCAAACTGGAAGTAGTTTAATGGAAGCGAGCTGAAAGCATGGTAGGATTGTTGTTATATCGAAGATGTTGCTTGTTGTGGACGACAACTTTCTTCTAACATTGTTATATGATGTAATTTTAGTGACAATACACAAGGGTTGATATGCAACATTACTATTCCTATAAACAACTTCGTGTATACTATGAGTCTATGACCGCAATCCCCAACTGCAAAAGAAATACAATTTACGAGAAGATGTCACCATGTGTTACGTGATGAATTTCGGCTTAGTTGGACCGGTTCTAGTGATTTAACTAAAAATGATAGCCCGCTGCATAACCGCAGGAACTGACTGGTCAAAGCTCCAAAACATCTTTTTTTTTTCAGTGAGCTCCAAAACATCATTGATGGGCGCCATTCTGCAGATTGCCTAACACAGTTCGAAGTTGTTAGCACAGCTCGGTACATTTGGTCTGCTAACTGAAGCAGCGACGATGAAAGAAAATAATGAATTGACAGAAAGAGAGGATCGTCAACTTGTTAATTATTAAAAATTATTCCAACAGACGAACTACTTCCTCTCCAAAAAAAATTAACGACACTCCAGTACTTCCCCCACTTGCAGCAACAGGTTCAAAGTTCAGGCAATAACTATAACATTCAACGGAAAACAAAAAGGGGAGGCAGGCAGAAACTAAAACGACCGAGAGCAAGAAAAGTTGTACTGAGCAGCGGTAAGATAACAATCGAGCAGATATCAAGCCCTCTTAGCGAAGTCGTCAGCATCCTCATCCGCACGCTCATTTTCACCCGCTGCCTCAAACTCAAAACCACCATCAGCCTCACTTCTTTCTGTGGTAGCGCCAAATTGTTCAGCACTTCCTCCGAATCCAGCACTGCTACCAAAATCATCGCTGCCACTGACACCACCAGCAACGCCAAAGTTGTTTGAAGCATCACTACCACCATATGCCCCTTCAGCAGGACCACTGTTGTACACATTCCCACTGGCTACACCAAAATCGTCAGCACCACCCCCAAATGCTCCACTTCCGCCACTGCCATAAGTGCTTCCAGCCGGAGAGCCTCCGAAGCCTCCACTAGGGTTTCCCCCAAAGCCTGAGTTTGGGTTACCACCACCGTAACCACCACTTTGACCGCCGCCGTAGCCTCCAGCACTGCCTCCATATCCGCCTCCTCCATAGCCTCCACCACTGTTGTAGCCTCCACCACCATAACCACCACCACTGCCACCATAGCCACCACCTCCATAGCCACCGCCACCACCTCCATAGCCACCGTCACCGCCTCCAAAGCCACGATTCCTGTCCGCTGCATAATTTACCCTTATCCTGCGACCATGAAGATCCTGGAGGGAAGAATGAAAGATTCCATACAGCGATCAATATAAACCGCCCATCTTGGCCAACAGATCCGAGTTAATATGTTACAGCACAAGTACATACAATGCTGTCACTAACTATCAACTCAATATAATATCAATTAAACTAAAAAAAAAATTACGCAGCAAAAAAAACAAAAACAAAAAACAAAACAAAACAAAACAAAACGCAACAGTCAGTCCAAGACTATGAACGTTTTTGCTATACTTCAGGTATCTCGCATGTGAGAAGATTTTCAAAGACCCAGTTGTCCAACCAACAGTTTAAATAGTCGAGAGGAGTATTAGTTTAACGAATCCTGCTAAAGCAACAAAAGCTGAACCTATAGAAGGTGCATGGTTATCCTACTGTAGTTCTGTCCTAGGATTTGGCCAGGCACAATGTTAGGTTTGGACCCCAAATTTTGCTTGTGTTTCCAAAGATGATGTCGACTACTTACTTCGTGGTGAATTTTTTAATTGGTGTATAGTTACGAAGCAAAACTGGGGTCAAGATTGGGGTACAAGTTATTGTAGAAGTACTTTGGATAATATGGTTACCCAAATCAATAACAAATATGAAGTAAACTAAAAAAATAAAAAGAAACCGCGCTAGGAGGGCTGTCACCTCCCTATCACCAAAACATACAACACCCGGAAACAAACAGTTATACTGTGCCACCTAACCATCTAACTGATCACAAGAAAGTATTTCATCAACCATCATGATTCTTTTTTCCGTTTGCTAAAATAACCAGCACAAAAGGTCTAAGTTAAGTCCTCATCATCAGAATTTAATATTGTGAAAGAAGATGCAACTAAGAGTACCTGCCCATCCAATGCTTGGATAGCACTCGATGCCTCCTCACTGGAAGTATATGTAACAAATGCAAATCCCCTAGATCTGCCAGACTCGCGATCCATAATGACTTTTGCTGCAAAAATAAAATTCAAAATCTTAAGACAAATAGAAAATTCTACAATAAAATAGTTTCAGACATCAGAAATCAGATGGACTTCTCAACAGGAAGCCCAAGTACAATACAAGAACACGGTTAGAACAATTTGATTATTATACTTCCCTATACTAGCTGACTTACCTTCAATGACACTTCCATACTTACTAAAAGCCTCTCTCAATGAATTTTCATCTGTGTTGTACGAAATACCTGCAACACCAAAGTTGGATCAGCCGCTGTCCATCACTTACCATGATGTGTACTGCAAACAGTTCCAAAAGAATATCACCTCCCACAAATACTTTCGAAGATGACATGCATCGTATGGCTTGAAAGATGGAGGGCCTCGATGCAGAAAATTGAGCAGCTATCTGCTTGCTTGAAGCCTGCTTGAGTATATTCCCAAGTTTGCTAAAAAAGGCCATTCTAATCTCTGCTCAAAAGGAATGATAGTACACCATCAGACAACCATGTGAAGTGATCAAATGACCACTGGAAGGTAGAAACAAAACCAAAACCAACAAAAAATGATTAATAATGGGAAATAAATCCGAATCTTGCTAATTGTCCTCAATGAAGGCAGCAAAGAAGTAAGTAAACCATGCTACGAAAAGAAAAAGGGGGAAACATATCATTTTGGAGCTCCCTCGTCGCATAGAAGCAAACTTTCAAGATTTCACTGCTAAATCCAGTCCAGCGACCATACCCACCTCACATATATATTCAAGAAATACGGATTTCTAAGGAAAGACGCACTGAAGTCTACACCTTTGCCACCGAGCAAGAGAATCACGCTCAACCAGTATTTGCTTATATAAGACAAATCTAAGTGATAATAAACCACAAACCCAGTTTCTCCACAACCCAATAAACAACCTTCTCAGTTACAGCACAAATCGGGAGATAAGCAAAAGCTACAAATCAAACTCAAAATATCCATCCACTCAATTGCTGACAAAACGGAACAAAACCCTACTGCGAAAGTCCGACAACAAAGCATAAGAAAGAACAAAAACCGAGTCATAAGCCAGGAACTGGAAAGTGGAAACCGGAGAACCACGAAAATGAGAAAATCAGGTTTATCAAAGTTCGACGATGGATACGTACCTAGTGTTACTGACTGTCGCAGCCCACCACTCGACGATCGGGGGAGTAAAACCCTATGTATGTCGCCTCAGTCGAAGAAGAAGAAGAAGAAGAATAGGGGTTTATGCTCTCGAACCGGGGAGGAAGAAGATTTATATTTCAACACGAGAAGATATCTGGGCCGTTGGATCAGAGATTAGACGGTGAGTTCCACATTCTGAGGGCTTCCACGTAGCCAACTGGGATTGGGCTGTGATGTAGGCTGTAGGTGACAGGCAGTTAGTTCCCCTTATGGCTTTTTCCTTAATTTATGGAAAAATCCAAAACTACCACGGTTTATAAAAAAATTACAAAAATACCATTCATTCCCAATAATTTCCAAAAATACATCGTTTATTTAAAATCGCGCCTCTAGTGGGCGGTTAACATAGAAACCGCGCCTCCTGGCAGCGGTTTACAATATAACCGCCTCGCCAAGAGGTGTTTTTAAATTCCAGCTAAAACCGCTCCTGGAAAACGCGGTAACCCTACCACAAAACGCTTGAAGAGGAAGCGTTTAAATGTCGGCATGATAAACCGCCCCACCAGGCGGCGGTTTACCATGTCCAGACATAAACCGCTGCCCCAAGGCGCGGTTTGTGCCTGGTCACCCGACAGCAGACATGCCTGGTTACCCCCGCGGTTTGTGCTGCAAAATTCGCCTATAAAAGGCTGTTTCAGAGAACTCAATTACTTCACACTCCTCCTCTTCCTTCTTCAAATTTCAGTTTTGCACCTTTAAATTATTTAGTTTTTGCGATTAACGTTAATTCGTAAGTTTGTTTTATATTACTTTTCATTGTCCTTTGTGATTTTATGTTAGTAACTTAATTACTTTTCATTGTCCTTTGTGATTTTATGTTAGTAACTTAATTACAGTTTTATTGCAGATGGCATTCCAAAGGTTCACGCTTGGGTTGCGGTGGAATGGTTACACGGAAGAGACCAAAAAGGGTGTAAGTTACGTCGGTGGCAATTTTTATAAAACGAAGGTCCGTACAAGACCGATGCTTTAAGAGCTCCATCAAATGTGCACTCAGATTACCTGCATGGATGACACTAGAAGAGTTTATCAAGTGGTGTATCGATATCCAAACAGACATGACGGGTCGCTGTGGAATGAGGAATTCCTCCTTACCACTCAGGAGGACGTTGATGCCATGGTCCAATTTTTGACCACCAATAAAATTAAGCAAGCGGAGATGTTCGTTTACACCGAGGCCGTCGAAGGCAGTGTAGGTCATTCTGGAGATGGCCAAACATCTGGTATCCACGGTGGGAGTGTATTATACGAAGATCATCCCCACCAGGATTTCCAAGACTCGAGCTAGAGGCAGGAGTACCATCATGGAACTGGAGGTCATCATCAATCCTTCCCTTCATATGAAGAAGAAGCTCAACAGGCGGATCACAACCAACAAGCAGGCTACCAGTACCCACCCGAGTACAACTTCTATCAAAGCGATGTTAGTTACCACAACTACCATTACGGAGCTGGTGAAGGTGAAGGTGCCTTTCATGATGATAATCAGATGGAAGAAGAAGTCAATCCAAGTCCAGTTAGTGACCCTGAGGTTGAAGAAGAGAAAGACGAAGTTAGTGCAGACAGCTTCGATCCGCTGGAAGGTGCTGATGATTCCGGTCCAGATTCAGACACAGACGGTGATGAGGTACCTCGCGACCGTGTACCTATTCCATACTACAATCACATTCAAAATGAAGATTGGTATGTTGATGCCGACATGGACCTGCCATAGGTGCCAGTATGGGGTCCACTCACTAGCTTTACGAAGGGCCAAAAATTTGCAAATAAGAATGAGGTTCGACACGCTATTTCCACTGAAGCAATGACTCGGAGTTTTGAATGGCAAACAACCCATTCCGACACAAAGAGGCTGATGGTTCAATGCAAAAATGAAAATGAGGGATGCAAAGCTAGGGTCCGGGCCATCAAGAGCAAGAGAGTCGGTCATTGGGTCATATCCCGTGCGGTGAACACACACACATGTGTGTCATAAATAACATCCCAAGGCCATCGACAATTGAAATCAAGGGTGGTTGCCGCGGCTATCAAACATCTAATTGAGGAGCAGCCCCACCTGAAGGTGAAAACCATAATCGCCCACATTTCTAGTCATTATGGTTATATCATTAACTACAAGAAAGCGTGAGATCCCGTCACAGTATCCCCACATGAGATCTCGTCACAATATCCTGATCTTGCCTAACATTCCACATGCAGATCAATTTTTCATACTCCTCCGACCAATTAGTAGCTCCTTGTCGACCATCGTTCCCGTGGTACCCCTTCTGACTCTCCGGGACATCCAATGGTAGGCATTGCTCACGTCCAAATTGTCGTAGACATCAATCCGGCAAGTGCCACTCCACTATATGGTTGCAGATTAGTGGAACTCGGGTGCACCATTGACCGGGATGTAACGGGAACTTGTGGACGTGATGCGCAACAATGCGTTCTGGATACGGATCGAACTTAAGCTACGAAGGTGAATAAAAAATAGACCATTAATCAACATAATAATATACGTTAAAAAAGTCGGAATTAATAGCGTATTATGATGCTCACCTCTGCTTCCCAAAGGCGATCAAGCCTCCTACGATACTCCTCCAACTTATGCGCTCTTAGGTTGTCACATGTTTTTTCACCAAGCCACCTATTCAATCCAAAAAGTATGGAGTGTTATGACATAATACCCGGTTCGTTATAAAATACCCAATTAGTAAAAAAAAGGTGAGAACTATGAGTGAGATAGAAAACATTTACCTACAACCATAAGCTTCATGTCGTAGGGGATGGTCGGGACCCCATTCCTTGTCGGGGTCGACCTTCGGCGCAATCCATGGCAAATGCTCCCAAGCCCAAAATTGGACGATGAACATGGACCCATCAATCTCCTTCACCGCTCTCGCACTAGCATTACAGAGGGATCAGTAGAGATGAGCTAGGCAAGTAGATGTCCAGCTCAGGTTTCCCATATCATCCCAACTCCCAAGTATGATCTTCAACCATGAATTGATGATTAGGTTGTTGGATTTCTTGGGGAAGAAAACTCCTTCGATCATGCCGAGGATATAGATACGTGCATAAATATCTTTATCACGCTCCGAACTTTCCTCCATGAGGGGAATGCCTCCGAACTCAGGGTTGTGCTTACGCCTGATCTCCGGTGTCAACCACGTGATGGATACTTGGCCCTTGGACAATGGTGGATGACCATCAGCATCGTGATCTCCTTTTTCTGGCGGACACAACCCGGTGACTGTCCATATAAAATGCTGCCAACGACTCATATTGGCAACAACTTTAGGTGGTGGCGTCGAGTCCACACAAACAACATCACCATCGATGGGCAGATCGGTTAGGATGGCGATTTTCTTAAGTGTGATGGTGCACTCGCCTTCACGAAAATTGAAGCAGTGTGTCTCCTTTCGCCATCTCTCTACCATCGCTGTGATGAGTTGGCAGTCGATCTTGATTCCATTAAAATGCCTAATCGAATTCAATCTTGCCCTTTTAGAAAGGGCAAGATGACGCCGTTCCATTCAAGCACATTCGTCGTGCCCCTATAGCGGACTATATGGTATGCATCTTAGAGAAGAATTTAAATTTCACTATAAGCTGATGATTTATACATATATAAATATATTATAAGATGCAATATTAATTAAATCAAGGTTTTTTTATAGAAATATACATTATCTAATAAACATTAATTTTAACATAATTAAATAATATTATAAGATGCAATATTAATTAAATCAAGGTTGTTTTAGAGAAATATACATTATCTAATAAACATTAATTTTAATATAACTAAAATAATTTTCTAAGATGCAATATTAATTAAATCAAGGTTGTTTTAGATAAATATACATTATCTAATAAACATTAATATTAACATAATTAAAATAATTTTCGAAATTTAAGTATAATTATTTTTTGTACACATACACATAAAATCAAATATATTATTTTGTTAATCGTATTGATTATTTTCAATAATTTAAAGCAATACAAGTACACTCGTAAGACTCTTAGGAGAGGTATACATCTCCTTAGAAACACAGTCTTTTTGACAGAAAAATGGGGGATCCGAGGATCGCTTAGAACCCGATTTCCCAGGTCATGGGGGGATCATGATGATCGCTTAAATCCCCATTTCCTTAGACATGCATTTTTTTATAAAGAGTCTAAATAAGTGTTGTATTGTATTGATTTAAATTATTGAAAATAATCAATACGATTAACAATTAAGTAAATTATTGTACAAACAAATAAATTACTTTAACAAAATACAAATTACAAGTGATGATAAATAATATGTACCTTGTGGTCGTTCCAAACGTCTCTTGAACGATGATTAGCTTGATCGTATAAAACAGTCGGATCAATTGGTCCTTGATCAACATAATATCGTTGATTGTAAATATCAACATCCGACCCAACCTACGATAGCATAACAACAACATAAATCAATTAGTATATAAATTAAATAAATCATTATAACAACAACAACAATTGGGTAAAATGAGTAAGTACCGTTTGATAATCATCATAGAAAAGGCCCTCTTCTTGGATGAAATCGGCCATTTTTCCGAATCCGGACAGAGATTCGACGGTTTTTTAGTGAAAACCAAAGAAAAAGTTTTTTGAAGGCAGATCGGACTTAGCCGCAACCAACAAAATAATTCTAAGGTTTTTGGGTGGGGAGCGGGTGGGTAGAGTGAGGAGTTACAGGGAGAGAGGGGGGAATGGGTTTGGTGTGCAGAAAATGGGAGGGGGAAGGGGGGTTTATATAGGGACGAAACCGCGTGAGGGAGGGGCGGTTTCGTCCTTTTACCCCGCCTAAAACCGCGCCTCAAGGGCTGTTGCTTTCCCCAACAGTCAAACCGCGCTTCGAGGGAGCGGTTTGACTGAGCGACGCGGATCGCTGAGCTGGCGCGCGGTTTGGCCGTCAAATCGCTCCCCCATCGCGTGGTCTGATGCACCGCCACGTGGCCACACGGTTTGACAGCCAGGAACAGTCAAATTGCCTATGGAACGCACGGTTTGACCTTTAACCG